TGGGTTTGGGTTTTTTTTTTTGAGGGGAGGTGCTTTTTAAAAGCAATGATAGAATCAAAGGATATTTTTTTTACCACCCTGAAGGATCTTCGTGCCCTAAGGCACTGCTGACTTCAGTTAGTAGCACAAATTAGTTTATGCTATATCTCCATCTAGTTAGTGACTATGTTCATTCCTGTCTGAAGCTGGAGGTCTCAGCTGCAGTGCTAAATGAAATGAAAAATCCATCTGTCTGAAGCATCTTAAATAAACCCCTGTGCTTTGCACTTGTTCCTGGTCCTCCCGTTGCTCTCACAGGTACCCAGGCCTGCAGCAGTGAGGTCCCCTTCAAATTATTGAATGTTTTTTCTCCAAAACCTTGTAATCAGCAGACTCATTCTTGCCTCTTCTTTATGCTACCTCCAAAGCTTGCTTGCTAAAATTTTGGCCTCTGCCCTTCACAGTGCTTTGCAACAAGTGTGTTAGTTTACTCCTATTTGATTTTACAAGTCTCCCTTACAGACTACTCAAACTACTGTGGACTAAATCATCCACCTCATCCACAGCACTGATTCCATCACCCCAGCTCAGTAAAGCTCTGTAAAACTTAGCCCGTCCTAAAGTGATATGCTATCTCCTCTTTTGCTAGGAAGGCCACTGCAGTACTCCATCTGCCATCCCATCTATCAATCACTATGCTTCAGGTCCTACCTTATACAACGCTGTCTTGATCCAGCTGTTTTTAAACTCCTTATCACTTTTCTCATCATAACCCCTATCTCCTCTTTCCTCCGGAGACCCTTGAGGATACCTACGCCTCCTCAGGATTTACTTCACCTGGCTTGGAAGCATGGGCCCTTTTTCCCCAGCTAATGATTTTTTCTTCATTGTGCTGTAATTATAATACAGTAATGAATACACACGTGTGTGTTTTAAAGGAATCCATATCATGTGTCTTTAACAGAACACAGATGTTAATGCTGGCAACTCGTATTGTTTAACATGTTCTCCCATCGTTGCTTGTTATTTCTTACATTATTTCTGATATGGTAAAGAGCAGAGGCAAAGGACTTGTCTGTCATAGTTACTGGCCACCACAAATCTCCATGGGGCCACAGTATTAATCCCCTGAGTGAGCCATGCTGCATGCAGTTGGTGATTATGTCAACTCATGAGTGAGTAAGTGAACAACAGGGAGCACTACTGCTTCTCCTCCGTATTTTGGTAAGACTGGCATGCAACCAGTGCTGATCTTCAGCTCAGATTTTCGGTGAGATGATAGTTCCACAAACACAATGACATTGTGTCATGACACCACTACTTCCGTGTAGGTTTCAATCAGTGTTCTTGCTTTTACCAGAAATTATATATATTCACTGCTCCTCCAACTTAATTGATGCCAGGGAAGTGCCACACGCATTACTTTCAACATTTAGCTCTCAAGTGCATGAACAACATTCCCATAATCCATTAGGTACCCACTCAGAACAGACTTTGTCATCATAGAATGCAGCTAAGTAAACAGAAAAGTCAGTTTTAGAGTATAAAAGCTTAAAAAATTCATCATATTACTTCTGAGGGAAGGGTGATGCAAAAATTACGGTACCTTGAGCTATGGGGTTTCAGGTCCATAGACACTATACAATACTGGTGCCAAGAGACCCAAGTTTTAATGTCTCCATCTCCCATCTCCCCAGATCCTTCCTAATAACATCCATGATGTCATTGCATCCTGAACTATTCATTTTAGCATTGACTGGAAAGGCTTTGCAGAAGAATAATACTGGAAACTGGAAGTGCATCATATGAGATAAGCTGGATAATGTGAACTAATGCACAAAACTAAGTATGGCAGAAGGAAATCAAAAGAGACATTCTGCATTGTTTATGGACTACATTCAAAGTCAGGTTGGACGGGGCTCTGAGCAACCTCGTCTAGTTGAAGATATCCTTGCTCATTGCAGGGGAGTTGGACTAGATGACCTTGAAAGGTTCCTCACAACCCAACGATTCCATGATTCTATACAGGACAGTACAAAAAATCACAGACCTAAGATCAGCATCTCTCTTGAGGGCCTCAGTGAAAAAAAAAAGTGTGGAAAGCATTGTATTTATGAGTTAGATCAGGTTTCATCTAAGGTTCTTCCCTTCAGATCAGTTCATATCCCACTCTGTTCTACTGCTCCACCAGCAATAAATACAGAAAATGTTCAAATACTTACAGGAAGTATTGAAAACCTCATTATTTGTTGGAAAGGGGGGGCAGAAGGTAAAGGGGAAAGTGTCATAGTTTACAGCTCTGTGTTTTCAAATAGAGGCTAATGTATGCATACCGGCACTCAGTTTTACACACCAGTGCCAAAATACTGATTAACTGCAAAGTGATCTTCGCAGTGACACTACACACAGAGCAGAGACCTTAAAATCAGGGGCTAAAATTACATACTTTGGGCCAACAGTGTTGTAAGTTGGAAACAACTTCATGACTCTCCCTTCACTCCTACCAAAGATGGCTTTGCTGAGTTCCTAATTCAGGATTTAAATTCCTGCTTGATTCTAAACAGGCATCTTCACACACCAAGTTCTAGACACATGTGTAAACCTTTCATCTCAAGGCTTTTGTGTGACAACATCTGTGAATACATTTATAGCATTTTAAAGGGTTGACTTATGCATATGAACTAACCCTTCATCTTATCACTGAGCTGGCTGCAGTGCTACAATCCCACCCCAAAACCCGCAGACATCATCTATACCAGCCCTGTCAACAGTTCATGCACATTTTAAAAGCATCAAAGTGTTTTCCACCATTTTTCCAAGAAAAAAGAGCCCTTACAACACATAAACAAACACATAGAAAGACACTGACATATTTCTTCGCATGATTTCAGTAAAAACATGCTTTTCTTATTAAACTCTGGTGCTATCCTTTGATTATAAGCCTCTTCTTTCCCAGCAAATCTATGACTAAGCATGTGTAAATTCTCATCTCAGGGGTCTGCCCTTGTGGCGGCTGTGGCCACCCCCAGAATTTCTCACCACGTATGTGTGTGAATTGCCTCATAGTCACTTGTATAATACATTCTCCCTTCCTTTGGCTTCCCTATCCATCTGGGTACCTGCCAAGTGTGCTGACTGACCATCTTATTAACAACAGAAATGGGACTGAAGTCCCACCAAGGCTCTGGTGGAAGCTGGAAGTATCCCCATTGACTGCAGTGGAGTTCGGCCCGCTTCCACCACTTCAGCAAGGGTTTCCTAGCTCCATTATAGGTTGGTTGTGGACTCTGGTTGGTTTAGTCCTGTGGACTATTGAGAGCTTTCGATTCCACTTAACTTCAACACAGACTAAGGGCACTCCATTGTCACAAGATAAACCCATTATAAAATGTAGCTGAGTGTATGTGCTGCTCTCTATCATCGGTTCCTCCATAATGCAGGTTCCCATAGGTGGAAATTTGGTGGGGTTTCAGTGGCAGAAGCAGACTCCTGGAAAACCATGTGCCAGCATTTTCCCGGGGCTGCAGCTTTCCTAGTGAGGCTGCCGCACAGTCAGGGTCTGTATCTGTGTCCCACCCCAAGCTCCACACGCTATGGCCAGCCCAAGTGACTTGTGACTCCGGCATACTCTGGCCCCAGCTGATCACCCCTACGTGAGATGAGGCCAAGCCTTACCAAGAAAGCTGAGCTCATGTTTCCAAGAAGCAAAGAGAAAGGGAGAGTTTTGAGCAGAGTGTTGTCATTGCCGGTGGTTTCTTCCAGGCTAGCGGTAAACTTGGGTTGTTTATTGGATCCCAAACTTTCTTTGCATGTACACAGGAAAACAGATGCTTCCCACTCCCGGCCCCATGCTCGAGCTAGCCTCCCTCAGCAAAACCCCCAGGTAGCCAACACAACCGGGGCGGCAGACGTCGCTTCCTGCCTCTGACTGCTTTGAGCTGGTGATACAACATTATCCATCCCGCACACTTCTTCGGCTCCTTCGCCAGGGTCTCAGGCTGGCTCGCAGCGTGCAGCTTGCTTTTCCTGCGCGGTGGGAACAGCTGCCGCCTCTGCTCACAAAGAGGGAACAGAGGCTGGAGCTTGTGAGCGCTTTGGCTCTAATAGTGTGCATGGGACATGGACGACAGAGCTGGGAAGTAAGCCAGGTCTCCCAGAGCCTGAGTAGGTGGGTGCTCTGACTACTAGGTTACCTTTCGTCCTCCATCATTAAAGGCCTGGCATGGTCCATCCATGGCCATATCTTCAGTAAGCCTCAGGTGCAGTCCTCCATTGGATTCATTTATGCCAGCGGCAAATTGAGTTTCAGGCTCTTACAAGGGATTAGAGAGGCAAAGAGGAAATAGAGCCCAAACTCGGGTGCCTGGACATATGCTTAACTATGGGGCTTCAGGGTGGCCACTTGTCACAGTGTCTTTGCCGCCTCTTCTGAAACAGTGGGTCCTGGCCCCTGCCTGTGCCAGGACTGTGATTTATTGCAGTTGTGTGCCCTTCTGTGGTCTGAAGAGGATCCTTCAGCTTTCTGCCTGAAGAAGGTCCTCACAAGACACACAGGTTGTTTGAGAACATGATGCACTCACTGTTTCCCTCTCCTGTGACATTTCTTTACATAAGCAACTGAATAGCAAAACATATCAGTGTTCGTTACTAATTTTGTTATTTATAGCGAGCTGCCACAGATGGAGACTGCAGCACTATTCTATCTTTAGGGCGTAGCGCCTGCCTGCCCATACAGACAATTGATAATTAGCACAAGAACAATTTGTTTATCTATTCTCAAACTTAAATAAATAGGAGAGCCATTTATCTGTCAAAACTCAACTCCCTCCTATTGCCAGATCTCCAGGTTAACTGCTTAATGAATAGAGCTCATTGCCTCAGGCATTTCGGTGAAGACAAAAGTGTCTTTTAAAAGAATTCTCATTACAGAAAATGAAATGTACAATAAAAAAAAAAAAAAAAACAAGTTATGTACTGAAGGGATAGCACTTAGACCAGAAGAATCAGGAATACGGGCCACAATGAAGATCACAGGGTTGTCAAGCAGAGGTGTAGAAATGGACCCACCCGTACGCAGGGGTGGTGTATATAACCTGGTTACTCCTGCTGCGTGCACTTCCTACCAATCCAGCCACCCAGGTCTCAGGCGATCATTCCTAGTGAATCCTTGCATGAACATGAAACTGGGGAGTAGAAGGCAGAGAGGATACTTCCAGTTCTCCAAGTAAAATCCCACATGTGCACAAAGATGGACTTGCATGGGTCCGATGGCAGGACCCTACCCAATGTAAACAACACACAAGCCAGGGAGAAGTCATGACATAATTTTTTGTACTTTTATTGCTGATTCCAACCCTTCTTTGTTTTCTTTTATTCCTTATACTCACCCCTGAAGTTAGAGAAGAGAGGAAGAGGCTTTATGAATGGATGGACTTTGTGAGTTGTACCCAAGGTTTGGCCCCTGTTCCCTCTCCCCTTGCCCCACCACTGCTGATGGGAAGGGAATGGGAGCTGCTGAAGGACTGCTCACTCACTTTAAAGGCCAAACAGGTCTGTGTGGTAAAAAACAAACAAGCCTTGTCTTTCTCACGATTCAGATGTCAGCATCTGAAAGTGTTCACTTACTCAAGCTTGCAGGTGCAGGGTTTTTTATGTGCATATGAGTGCACACACATCCATATGTACAGGGTGGGAAAAGCAACGGGAAAAAATAAGAAGGTTTTAGAGGTTACTGTTGTCAGACAGCAAAAGTGGGTCAGATCTGAGAAATTCTGCCTGTCCTCCATTTCTGATCATAGATGTCCCAGTGAAGAGCTATTTGCTTATTGCCCTACCACCTGGACAATCTTTATTTGACCTTTTCATCCTCCCATCAGCACCCAGGAAGGGGATAAAAGCTGCTAAATAAAAGTAAGCGATTTCAAATACAGTGGCTGGAAAGAAATAACTAATGAGGAGCTCCTTCTTTTGTCTTGCAGCTCACAACTCCAAATTTCCCTGTAGTGGTCAAGCTGGGACATGCTCATGCTGGAATGGGGAAGGTAAGTAAAAGAAAAAATACGTATAGCTCAGGAAACAGATATGCATGTGGCACAACGTTCCTGTGATTGTACACGGCGTGTGGCCAGCCAGAGAAAGGGTTAAACCTCCCCACAGCCTATCTGGGTCGCACGGACTGTTCCTGTGGGAGAAAAGGCCTTTTTCCACTGTCACGCACTCGGAGACAGGCAGTGGTATTGGGTTGGAGGCTTCCAGGGATGCGAGAAGGGGGGTTTGTGAAGAGTGGGGGAAATGCTGGCTGGGCTGAAGTCATTAGGTTTGTCTTTTATACATTTTCTTCTCTCCTGAAAGCAGCAATGTTTATTCAAGCACCTGTAATGTGCAGCTACACCCCATAGCTCTCACAATGAGGAGGAGGGGCACTGGTCTTTTCGAGCACATTATGATGACCTATTCAATAAAACGGGAGCCCTTCAGTTATTTTTTTCCTCCTTGCAAGGAAGAACAAGACCTTACAAAGCAGAGTGGCTGGTTGCCTGCCAAGGAATCCTGAAAAACAGTTCACTCCCCAGAAGGACCTGTTTGTTTTTCCCAGGCTCTCTGGGATCTTTATTCCCCCAGTGAATTAGCAGCCCCTGTTTCTTGGGGTGACTGGGCTCCCCTTTCTCTGCTGCACTTTAGCCTCTTCTTTCTTGTATATACCTTTTAAAAAAAGCATCCCCTATCGATCTGTCTAAAACTTGATTCGTTCAGAAGTAAGAAATTCTGATGTATCGTCTCTGAATCCAAATAGGTGGTACATGAACTTCGTAACTGATAGCCCTGTGACAGTGCTTCCCTAGAGCAGACAGACCTTCTCCCAGCTTCACACTTTGCCTCAAGATTATATATAGGTACGCCAAACTTAAACTCGGTACAGCTTGTTTGCTTGCGCTCTGGAAACAGAAGACCTTTCTGGATTCCTGGATTGCGCATGCTCTCATAACCTTTCTTGCTTTTTTTTGCAATGTTCCCCTGCCTGGATGGTAGCTGCTGGAGAGGAAGTGGGCTCAGATCCCTGGGCCGGTGGTGGAGTTGGCTTTCAACATCAAAGAACAAACATTTAAAGAAGCAGGAAATGTTTGTTAAAATATTGGTGCTGCATATGTTAAACAGGCAGAGGTGTCACTGAATTAGAGTACATGCGGACAGCCTAGAGCTGCTTGCAGAGCGAGCCACTGAACATGTCCCTAGGAAGGATTTCATTAGCAAAATCCAACCAGGACAAACCAGGAGGAAGAAACCTCTCCCTGAGGAAAGGTTTCAAGTTCCTTGAGATCCTGCAATCCTGAATCTGACTGCTCCGCAATTTCACCTGTAATGGAGGGAGGGCATCATGTGTCTGTTGTGCACGAAGGACCATCAGTGGCTACAGAAATGAGGGCAGAATCAGAGAAAAGTACCCAAATCTTAGCAGTGTTTCCAGACAAAACTCTCAGAATATTTAGCTGTTGTCTTTTGCACCAGACACCAGATCTTCTTCCACCTCTCACTTCCCTCTCATTTTATTATTTAATGATGTTGATTTTTGCTGTCACAAGTTACAGAGGAAGAGAGTTTCTATTCAAACTCCAGGCACAATTGTATGCAGTGGTACAAGGGGGGTACATAGGAAGTTGTTCCAGATGAAGATAGGCTGACAGCCAGCACCTTAGAAGAAAGAATTGGTCTGAGGCCAAGTTTACTTTAGTCCGTTATGAGATTAGGGACTAGTAGCAAAGTCTGGATGTGGGTTTGGGCACAGAGTTTCAACACTGCTCTGTTCAGTAAATGGGGAAGGTACAGGAGGGAAGGGTTGTTGACTTTATTGTTTTAGTTTGGGCCCTTCTCCAGCCACAAGCAGCCTGAAGGAAAGTTGAGACTGATTAAGTCTTCTTGAAGCCCACTGCCTTTCACTGCATAGAGCAAAAGAGAAGAGAGAAAGTGAAAATAAAATAAAGAACAAGTTGGTTGGTTAAAAGACAAGTAACAGGAATTTGTTTCATGTTGTTTTTAAGACAACAAGGTTCAAGCCCAAGTAGGACTGACAGAAAGAAACCACAGAAAATGTCAGGAGAAATACAGATGAGCAGAACTATGGGTATACTAGAAAACACCTATAGGAAAAAAACCCCAAACCTCCAGTTAAGTAATTCAGAAGAGAAAGTTTCCAAGAGACATAATAGTGGTTTTAACCATACAATGTAAAAGCAATAATCAGTGATGATAAGGAGATTATAGAGAGCTAAAGGATTTCTTTGCGTTGGTCTTCAGAAGTAGAGATGATAGCAGGAAATAGCTGTAAAACATGTAATAGGAAAAGAGAGAGGTTTGCTTTTGGTTTAGATGAGTATAAGAAAGTAAATGTTAATAAAGCACCTGCATCATGTCATGTTTTGTATAAAAGCGATGACTGAAGAAACAAAGGATAAAATAACCAACCCATTAGCCAAAGTACACATGTGAGTATTAAAAATAATACTTAGTGCAACAAACAATGCCAAGAGAGCAAGCCATGTATTTGTACCTGTAATGGGTGCTTCGAAGGATGTGAGCATTCAGATTACAATCTCATTACCAGCAGAAATTGTCAAGGAAGTACTTACATTTTTCTTATTATTAATGACAATTAATTACACATGTAATGAGAAGCAACAAGACTTAGAAGAATGAGTAAAGATGGGGAGTCCAGACACATTCTTTATACATACTGAGGCAGTGGCCAGGAGCCAGAAAAAGTCTGGACGCTGAAAAGGCCTCTTCCCTAAAGAGCTCCACCATTGACTTGCAGGGACATTTGTGTCATTTCACAGTTCTTCTTCAGTTCCTGTGTGTTACAGATCAGAGGGATTATAATGATTACCTGATACCTATTGCTAATGCATGTTCATAAGGGTCTCGGCCCTATAAGAAGTGCTGAGTGTTTATTATTTTGCAATAATGGCTAGAAAGAGCATAATTATAATAGTCAGACTTTTCATTTTCACATATCCTTTGTTTTCGCAACATTTTCACAAAATTCACTCACCACATTTTTTAATCAGAGAGTTGAACAGAGAATCCTCAAAGCTAAAATGAAAAATAACCATGTTAGAACCTGTAAGAAACAGGCTCTATTCACTGTCTCTAGCTTGGAAGAGGAACAGTTAGTATTCAAGGTCAGAACCAAAAGGGGTGACAGTATACCATTAGTGATAGAAGTGCTCTTGCCAAATGATGCGTGCATGTAAGGTGCAGATGGAGATGAAGAAAACAAATTTGCAATAAAAGGCATCATTTGTAATTCCCGTTAAGAAATCCAGAAACAACAGCCTCTCTCTTGACATGAACAGGGACACCAGGAATAGCCTTCACCCAGAGAGACAAAGGGGACCCAGACGATATTCTCATCTAAAAACAGGACATATACCTCTCAGTTCCTCCCATGACCATCATTATCCCCCTTCCAAAATTTGGAGTCACTTCGTATTTCGCTGGCACTGGAAGATCATAACAAGTACTTTGTGTGCTGCTGGTCCAATACAGTATCGATACAAATACACTATCTTTAGAAATACTGCTTAGGCAATGGTTTACAACAGACTCAGCAGAGAAGGACCTTTCTCATGTCATATTTAAGTTGCCCAGGCTCATGAGGTCAACAATACTCAAGGAGTCTTCCAGGGAAACCAAGGATGGACACTGAGAGGAGATGTCCTTCCTGGTGCAGAAATGAACTATTCACCCAGCAGTTCCTAAAGGTCAAGGCATTTTTTAAGCATTGTGCAGTTTGAGCCTACCAACCCCAGAAATGATTTGGGGTCTCTGTTGAATAGGGTGAGCACTACAGCGAGAAAGGAATAACACTTCTTCCTGACTCTGGATCTCATAATGCCAGAGCCCATGGAAAAGAATAAAGCTCTGAGTGTGTTAATATCTGCCATTTATGTGCTAACACGACCCTAAAGTGCCCTAGGAACAGAGCCCAGCACAGCAAATTCACTCAAAGAGCCTCTTCACCTCTTCCTGATCAGATCATGAGAAGGAATCAACTGCCAGATCTGCAAAGAGAGGAAAAACAGTATCTGTTCATGTGGCTTTATATATATTTATATGAATTTAATAAATATATATATTTTGCTACTCTTACTTTATTTTTAGACCTCTCTAATTAGGCAAGTTTAAGAGTCATCTCCTGTCCCCTCCTGCCCCATAATTATGAAAACACCTCCCCAGTACAAATCCTGGCTCAGATGAATTTATTACATTGTAGAAGAAAAACTTGTTGTTCATAATAATGTGGTCAGAGTTATTTTCTCTCTTACTGGATGGGAAAGACTGCTCTACTTTTTTTTTCCCCCTGGTATAAATATAGCACAAACTAAACAGAGCCACTCTGTAATGTAAAAATACTGCAAGCTTTTTATCAGGAAGGACAGCTCGTCACCTTGTCCCTCTCGGCACTGGAAATAGAATGTTCCAAAAGTAAGAGCTTTGAAAATCTAGTGTGCTAAAGAGGAAAGGAAGGGGAAAGGGCTGCCTCGGTTTGTCAAGGAACAAATATTTTCTTTTACAGAGGACAAATAATGACTTGACATGTAACATTCACAACAGAGCAGCCCAATCGCTGCATTCCCACTGACTCATAAGCGAGGAGGTACCACCCGTCTTGAAAATAGCAAAAGCGTCCCCATTTCTTGCACATCAGTCTGGAACCTTTTGCTGGACGCAGAAAACAGTGACTGATCCAGGGCACCAGGGACCAAAGCTGCCAAGACCTGGGGCTGAGAGAAGCTCTTCATTAGGAAGTTAGTAGGGATGATGACATTTAATGCATTAAAGGCAGTGTAACATCTGGAGAACTTCAGTGTGAGGATAATAAGGAAAGCCAGACTCTGTTGTGTCTCCATTATTTTGAGGTGCATCAATGTTAGGCCTAAACTGAATGTGTGTCAGTTGGAGCGGGTATTTTCTGAGACAGGGAGTGTAATTTGAGGTAGAAGGAAGGAGAGACTCAGGAAACCCTCTGTACTGAGACGTTCCTGAAGACCTGCTGTCTCAAAATGGCAAAGTAACTACAGAAAGGCAAAGTGCAGGTTGAGACGAATGAAAAATCACAAGCTCTGTGTGGCCATGCCAGTTCCTCTGGAGGAAAACACTCAGACATTTTCACAAGCCTACCAAGAGCCAGTTAAACACCATGTTGCCAAGCCTGGTCCTGGCTCAGCCTTGGACACTTACCTTCCAGCTGAACCTGCCTCTAACCCCAGTTTGGACACACAAACTGCTTCCGCAAGCCATCTCCAAAGTGGTGTGGGTTTAACCTGTGAGGCAGATTTAACTCTGGATGACACTCCGAGAGGCAAAGCTAGGGCAGCCCCAGCAGAATACTGTAATTATACCACTTTGACTGGCTATTTTTTCCTGTGGCCACGTAACTAACGAAAGAAGAAGGGGACTGTGAGGCAACACCTTGCAGTGCTTAGGCTAAAGGTGAGAGAGGAGAGCTGTAGCCCTGGGACCCTGGTGTCCAGGAACATCTGGGATATAGAAGAAGCAGTAAATTCGGGGACTACGAGACAGAGAAAGCAGAAATTTCTGCCCAGGTCCCTCACTGCAGGAACCTGTGCTCACGCAGATCTCAGGGGTGGTTCAGACTGCACGGGAAGTATCCACGGTAGGTTTTTAATGATGCCAGTACCCACTCTCCAAAATCCTGTCTTGCAAGAAGGCTTCAAAAGAAAGTCCACAGCAGGGATGGGACAGAAGTGTTTGTTCCTGATGTGTCCCTCGGTCTGCTCTCCAGCCAAAGGCAGCAAGATCAGTGCCCCTTGGCCAGGCTGAGGATGGGAATGGGCACCAGCTGCAGCTTCAGGTCGTGTAGTATCAGCCTCTGAGATGCCACCACTGGGCAACGGGACGGTGACATCTATGTGAGCATGTCCCCAGGGGTCCAGCCAGACTCCCCTCTCCACTGCAGCAACAGGGAGCGTGCTGGGGCACGGCCGGTGCCCGAGTTAAAGAAGAGAGCCAGAAGGGAAGCAGGGACTCTCCCAGGGAGTTTTCTTACCCAGAAAAGGCATTTGTCAACACACTGACCCAAACTCTTCACAACAGGTCACTAAAATGCTACAGCAAACAGCAGCTGATGGCTCCAGAATGAGTCTATTGCTGCTCAAACAGCCAGCACAGCTAAGCAAACAGGCCGCCGGGGCAGGGGCTGTGTTTGCACTCGCTGTTTGCACTCCTCTACACGCTAATGGGATATTGCACTTATTCTAAGAAGCCTGCAAAAAAAAAGAGAGAGAGAAAAAAAAATGGCTTCCTGTTGATCTCTTTCCAACTTCTTTTCTCAGTTTCATGCATTGGCCAACCTGCCATTTTAGAAGATGGATTTATCCCTTTTTAGATAAATCGGTAACTGTTTGCTCTAGAATGATTTTTAACAGTCCCTTTTTAAATAATGCCCGCTGGCGTCACACTGCATCCACCCTGGCTTCGGTTATCTCCAGGGTTTTTTCTCCTGTTAGGAGAATGGATATTTTATTGACATGTAAAAGGGTTACAAGGTAGGAGGAAATGAATTATACAAAATATAAAAGTAGAAAGCTAATAAAATGGTGGACTTGATAGATAAGGCATGAAAATAAATCTAATTTCACTGTAACTTGAGTGTTTCCTGTTTATGTAGTAATAACTGTATGCTGGACTAAACCAGAGTTAACCCAGGACATGGCTGTTATTTTGTCAAATTTGGCCGGCTCTAACAATTAACAAATGGTAGCTCAGATTTCAGCTTTGGTGTGGTGATTATTTTGATGCCTGGAGGGAAATAAGGCCATGATATCCTAAAAGGGGACCTCTGTGAGATGCTTTCTCTGAAAAGTCCATGGAAAGGGCTCTGGCATGGGCCAGGTAAGATGGCAGAACTGTTTCCAGAGGACTGTGCAGTGGTGTAGCATTGAGGGACTCATCTTCTTTGTTTTCCATGTCTGTATTTGTGTCCTCGGTGAGTCTCCCCACTCTTTAACTATTTACCCAGCCAAAAATCCTCAGGCCCATTGGAGAAAATACCTTCAAGTGCTTTCACTCTCTTCCCACAGGGAGGGGGTGATGGAGGGGAGGAAGAAATGGACCCTTCCTTTCCATAGCATGCTGTATTTTTGAGGAAAAATCACATTTAACAAGATGACCATACAGCCACTTTCTAGCAATAACAATACAGTCTAACTCCAATCTGGAGAGGGAAGTGGCATCCCTTCCTCTGCCTCTAGGACAAATGTTCCCGGGCTGGGAATTGAAATCACAGAATCACAGAATCACAGAATCACTAAGGTTGGAAAAGACCTTCAAGATCATTAAGTCCAACCGTTAATCCAGCACCACCATGTCCCCTAAACCATGTCCTGAAGCGCCACATCCACACGTTTTCTGAACACTTCCAGAGATGGTGACTCCACCACCTCCCTGGCCAGCCTGTTCCAATGCTTGACCACCCTCTCGGTGAAGAAATTTTTCCTAATACCCAATCTAAACCTTTCCTGGCGCAACTTGAGGCCATTTCCTCTCGTCCTATCACTAGTAGTTGGGAGAAGAGACCAACACCCACGTTTCAGCTGAGGCCCAAAGACATCTGTTGCACAAGCACATATCTGTTTGTTTCAGATCCCACAAATGTCCTTGTTCCAAGTAGGTCATTATATAATGGCTTTTGTCTTTTCCCATTGCCAAAAGGGTCCAGGAGAATATGTCGTAACACCGTGCGTCGCCTGCTCATGTAGTTCCCTCCTGCGATCATCTCATCTGGGTGGGACTCTCTCACACTTGATGTCATTCAGCCCAGTGCAACTTTTATCTGTGCAACAAAAATACCCGGCCCCGACGCAGTCTGCGTTGTTCCCCCTGGTATTTTGTGAGCCGTGCCCAGGCTGGGGGCTCCCCGCCATGTGAGGTGCTCCCCTCTCCCGCTCCCCGCCGCCTCCGAGGCTTTCCGACTGCCTCGCCCTGCCCTGCCGCACCAGGAGCAGCCGGCACCGCACACAGCCCCGCTCAGACACAGAGGGAAACAACACAGCCCAGGGCAAGGCTGCTCCTCCTGGATGACGTGCAGCAGTTGCCTTTACATTTCCCCTTTGTGTTTGTTATTTCCTTTTTTTTTTTCCTATTTTTTTTCTACCCTCCCATCCCACAGACGACTGTCATCTTCCTCTGCTCCTTTTCTCAGTGGTCCCTGAATAGCGAGAGCACAGCCCTCACCACAGCAAAAGGGAGGAGGTCTAGGGGTATTTGGCGTTCAGCAAAAGGAGAAGCAAATTTTTCCTTCTTATTCAGGCATCTAGAAATGGTCAAGGGTCAAACTAGTTGCACTTTTCACCTTGTCCATAACCTGTCCAGTTCTCAGGAACTTTTCTGCGCCAGGACGTGGCTGCATCTTTGGCTTATGTTACAGCTGGTGCTTACACAAAACCATCTAAACAGAGTAAAATGGATTAGCAACAAGCTTGTCCTCTGTTCTCCAGTGAAGATGGCTCCTGCCCTCTCATGGCTGAAGGCAGATATGTAAAACCACTTCTTTGTTCTTTGCAAAGAAACACCAAATACCATTGCACGCGTTTCCTTCAGCTGGCTCCACATAGTCTGGCATCACCCTCCTTTAACACACACACTGACGCAACTGGGAAACTCTTCTGGGGCAGAGACCGACTGGTTGTCACGAGCAAGTAGACACTTAGCAAAGCAGGGCTGCAATCCCCAACTGTGGTCTCAAAGCGTTGCCAAACTACAAAGTGCAGGTAATACATAAAGAAAGTCACTCACTTGCCCACCCTTTTCACACAGTGTTAGTCTTTTTTCCACCAATTAACCACCCTTCCTGCATCCATCCAGCTCTAAGGAACAAGACTTGTATGGGTTTCTCTGATGCACCAAACAAGTTTTTGCCAATAGACTAAAGGCCGGGGCTGATAGTATGAGTGAGGTGAAGTTGTCCACTATGTTCTTGTTACCTGCTTGTTCAGTTTTTCTCTCCTCTCAGTGAATTTTTGTAGAGATTTGATCATATCATTAGAGCTTCTACTCTTTTGGTCCTTCCTGCTTCCTTTTTTTTTTTTTAATGAGATACAGAGTGTTTCTCATAACTGAATACAAATCTGTGCAAAGACAACTTCTCAGAAAATCTCCAGCTCGTAAGTCACTGCCCTCTCATTTCCAAGTGCAACCCAACTCTAACACCCAACTGGCTGTCCCACACACATGCCCATGGTATCGCGCTCACACAAATCTCCCTGAGAATCACAGGCTCCCCCAGAGACATCCTTTTCTTTCAGAGCTTGCTTCCAGCCAGGAGACCTGCACCACTCCTCAAAGGAAGTCTGGAAGGGTGTAATGTGAAATGCCAGGGACCTGAAGCCTAGAGGTTGCAATCAGTTCTCTTGTTGATTTCCTGGCATTGGTTTCTATTTCCTGACCACCCAAAATATTCTGTTTTCATCCCAACATGGGAAATAGCAGTTCCAATGTTTGAATGAAGTAATGGCCCTTAAAAGATTCAATATTTTTCTGAAGTATCATAAAAGCAATGAGCACTAGCAAGAGCCATCTGGGCAAAGGTCTAGCTGCCTCCCTGGTGCCAGGTTTACCAGGGTTTGTGCATGAGGAAGAAAGGGGTTTGCTCTGGATCAGGTTGGTCTGAGGAACTTCTCTCTTTAAACCACATAATCCCTGCTCTGTCCTCAGCTCCATCTTGGTGGGAGGGGGTTAACGGATGTTGTACTATTCAGGTGCAGAGATGACTCCCGCTCACAAAGTATTCCTGTTCTTTTTGCTCTGTCACCTTTTCGATGGATTTTGGCAATCAAGGTCAAAGTTGAGAACCAGCACGACTTCCGGGACATGGCCAGCATAGTAGCCATGGCAAAAACCTATGCCACCACTGAGCCATTCATTGACTCCAAGTACGACATCCGAATCCAGAAAATCGGCAGCAACTACAAGGCTTACATGTGAGTGTGTGTCTATGCCAGAATGAGACGGGGGGGAGACAGTGCTGTGGATGTGATTCAGTTGGTGTCTGCTCTCGGCAGGACTAGGAAGCTGACTTAATTTCCTTGAAGAATAGCCCTGCTGTTCTCCTCCCACCTCTGAACCCAGAGCCCCCATCCACTGATCATCTTCTCCGTTACTCACCATCAGCTCCCTGTTTCTGGAAGTCAAATCTCTCTCTACCTGTTTCTGAGATTCAGTTAGTTCCCACTACAGATGTGCTCTGCCATCACCTAACTCCTCTCCCTCCTCTTGTCAAAGGGCTCATCTTTCCCAGCAAACTCCTCCAGTTCCCAGTACCCTCTAGTGGGAACTGAACTCACCCCCTTCCCACCTGGGGCAAACAATAACAAAGATTAAGGCAGCTGCAACTCACGGAGTCCTACAGCACCCAACACATAGCAACAGCCCATCCTCTGCCCAGCTGGAGATCGTGACACCACAACCACACGAGGAGCACACAGCACCGGGCACGAACAGCCTCAGCCTGGCCAGCTTGCAGGGTTTCCATGGGCATTTTGCATGTGCACTCCTCGAAGCACACAAAGGAGGGGAAAGAGAAGGAGACACATTTCTGTGGGCATCCCAAAACTCCTACCTGCCCCGTTGGGGTAGTGAGGGAGGTGGCATGAGGGTAACCCTCAACACTGGCATATTTAAAAATGTTAAAAAGCACTGAGCCAAACTCCAGTAGTCATCAAGCTCAATTAAAGATGTAACCACATCAGTCAGTAAGACACCTGTTTCTTCCTACTGCAAACCAGTAGATGAGAAAAGCCAAATAGCACAGCTTCTCCAGAAGCTCCTTATCAAGCCAAAAATTCTGGATTAGACAGCTTGAGCAGTACATATTTCAGGTCACCAGATGAATTTCCTATATTACCTAACACCCACAACACTGTGAGGTTTGAGTCCATGTTTACAAACCTCCAGGCCAAAGTTCTGGCAAAACATAGTTAAATAAGATAATCAAATGTACACGATCACATATTTTTCAGCTATCTGCCTAAAATTCCTGGTTGGATTCCTAGCACAGACGTATTTAAGTAACTAGATAACGACTGAGTCACATTCTTCATGGGAAGGACTTGTGGGACACTCGGCTACTTCACATGAACTCAATGAGAGAAAATTTGTTTTAAATCTGATCAGCACCGTTCTGTATCAACAATAGCACAGTTGCCTAATATTACATTAACATCTCAGGGAGTCTGGCTTAAATTGGCCAAAGGAAGGAAGGTTTAAAATATCAATTAAAATTCCCTATTCCTGCCAACCTACCCAGCCTTGGCTCCAGAGTCGGCTCCCAGCCTGCCTCTAAATGAAACAAAGGCCCAGTTAGCCCAACCATATCCTCTCCCTGTTTATTATTTGCACTCACCACGCACTCATCCAGACAGGGATCAGAAATAATACCAGATGATTGAGGAAAGAAAGCAGTCACGCTAAGAGCTAATCCCACTTGGGAATATAGCTGCGCAAACAATTGTTTGCTAAATGAAAAATGTTTTCACATGAAAACAGCCACGAATGGGAAACACCTTAATAAGAAATGAAGCCTATTAGCAAAGAAAGCAAACAGCAAAATTCACCCAGCGACTTGCTAACCCAGAAAGTTGACTTATATTGAGAGAGCCATTTATGGATGTGAGCTTGGGAGAGCGGTATAGTCAGTCCCACCAGGAGCTCTTCCTTCTGTCTCAGCATCAAACAGAATAGAAGGTTATTTCTATGGTATAAATAAGTCCCTACTATATCCAAGGACAGAGGTAAAAGCACCCAAAATATCAGAGCTTCCACTGGTGTCTCACATAGAAGACTCAAAATCATTAGTCATGCTAGCAAATCTCAGCCTTAAAGTCAATTACAACATCTGCAGTAGCGTCATACTAAGTGAATTGCTTTGATCTGTGAGCCATGGAATCTACCCAGTATTTTTATACCTTCACCCACACGTATAGAGTTTAAAAGCCCCTTCCCTCTGAGAAACGACTGTGTACCAAAATTCTTCAGAATATGTTTACTTTGCACTAAGCATCTGCCAGAGGGAGGATGCTACAGGGTGACTCATGCATTCCTCCCCGCCCCAGATGTTCAATGCACTTCCTTCCAGTCCATGACCCAAGGCTTGAGTTCAGTTTCCCATTGACTTCAGTGCAGTAACTCCTGATTTACACTACTAACAAACACCTACTTAGCCCATGCCTTGGGCCAGTCTCAAAACAGCAGATAAGCAGCATGTGATACATGCCTAAAATTCCACTAAATGTATTTGACTGACATTGTAATACTGATGAAGAGAAAACACAAATACTGCTCATGTGGCAGGGGAAATTGAGGCAGAAATTATACTTCCACCTTCACCCCAACTGGAGGCAAACAGAGGGATCATTTCAAGCTAAGACTTGTGAAATGTTGTTCACTTTGAATGAAGCCAGCAGTTGCTGACTTCCAGGAGTGGGATATTCTTTGCCACCAGCACTTAGTAAGAGGGTAATACCTTTTCCTTTCTAGTTTCATGAGTGTGACTTCTGATTTTGTCACCTCAAATGTGGTTCAGTGTGCTCTGCAGGGGATGAAGCATCAACTGTGTCTAAACTAGAGCTGCTTTTAGACTGAAATGGCCCAGCTTGGACATGGTGAGTAGAGGACACCAACAGCCCATGATCTACTAGTCTATCCACTTATCCTAAGCAATGCTGAAGGTGTCTTGGTCTGCTTGATCAACTGATCCCTAAAAGCCTGGTGTCCTTTCCTTTAAGATACTGACTGTACACTGTTATGGCCCCCGAATGTTTAGGATGACTGGAAGCACTTTGACTTTCAGTCCTTGAGACAAATGGAGTTTGAAGCATGGCATACTTAGGGAAAG